GATTACTACTGATCTTACAGAAGTAAAAACACATAAAGTGATTCAATTGGGGAGCTCTGGTGGCCTAGTGGCAAGAAGCTGCACTGCAATCCCAGAGGAGCACGGTTCGAATCCACCAGATGCTCTGCCGGGAAAGGAGGGACAATCTCCTCCCGTACCAGTCAGATCTGATTTGACGGTACACGCACACACACAAATAATAAAATAAAAAAAATAAAGTGATTCAATAAAAAAATAAACAATCTCAACAGATCTTTAACAAGAGAATGGATTAGTAATTAAAAATATCCCAATAAGATCAAGTCTAGGACCAGATGGTTTTACCAGTGAATTCTACAGCATCATTTAAAGAATTAACACAGAAGAGAAGACAAAACAGTTCCCTCTATGAGATCAACACTTCCGAGTTCCCTCTATGAGATCAGTATCACTAATAAGAAAACAGGGGAGTTCAGGCAGCAGTCCACAGGGAGCTGTGCTGCTAACCCAAGGTGACAGTGGCGACTCCCTGGCTGAAGGCTCTGGTATCCAGGATATGCAAAGAATTCTTCCAACCAACTGAACAACAATAACTCAAATTGAACAACTTAAAAACAGGCAAAGAACTTGAACAGACTCATCTCCAAAGATATACAGATGGAATACAAGTTCATGAAAAGATGTTTATCATTCTTGCTCATTAAAATAATGCTAATAAAAAGATACCATGTTACACTGAAAGGAATGACAATAATTTAAAACAATAAAGTGTTGGCAACAAAAAGAGAAACTGGAACCCTTGCCCCCTGCTGATGGGAATGCAATATGGTGCAGTAATATGAAAAAGAACTTGGTTATAAAGGTCAAAACACAGAAAGACTATGTTGCGTTGTGTACTGCTGAGTTAGAATCAACTCACAGCTGACCCACCTGCATGTTTTCAGAGGCAGTTAATCACATTCTTAGTGGGAAGAAATGGCCCATTTTTCTCCTATGTAGCAGTTGGTGGATTCAAACTGTGTGCCTTTGGGATTGCAGTATAGAAAACACACAGAAAACAAAAGTTGGTAACAATAAAGAGGAAACTGGAATCCATGCCCTTTGCTGATGGGATTGTAAAATAGTACAGCCACTATGAAAAATAATTTAGTAATTACAAAAAAGTCAAACACAGATTTACTATATGACCAACTAATTCTATTTCCAGAAGATACTGTAAATATAGTCACAGATTTGTTCACCAGTGCCCTCGAGTCGTCTGCGACTGGTAGCCACCCTATGCAATAGCCCTAAACCCTGTCTCCAACACACCTGTCCCCATTAAACCAGTGACTGAATCAATCCATCTTATTGAGTCTTCCTCTTCTGCGCTGTCCCTCCACCCTCCCACGCATGATGTCCCTCTCCAAGACTGATCCCACCTTGCAACATATCCAAAGTATGGCAGATGAAGCTTCAGAATCCTTGACTCCAAGGAGCAGCATGGCTTTACCCTCTCCAGGATGAAATTATTTGTTCTCCTAGTAGTCCATGGTACATTCAATACTTTTCTCCAGCATCACAGCTCAAAAGCATCAACTCTCCTTCTATCATCTCTAGTCACTCTCTGGTCCACAGCAAGAAATTGCAAAGACCATGGCCTGTATCAGGCGCAATTTAGTCTCCAGACTGGCACTGTTGCTCCCCAGTACCCTGGACAGGTCTCTGACAGCCAACTTTCCCAATGTAATTCTTTTAATGTCCTGGCTGCTGCTACCAAGAGTGTTGCTTGTAGAGCCAAGCAAACTGAAGCTGTCAACAATCTCAATCTCTTCACCATCTATCATGATGCTGCCAATCGGCCCAGTGGTGAGAATCTTTATTATTGAGCCTCAATCCATAGTCAATGAAACAGACATTCCTCTGGTACTCTCTGCTTTCCGCCAAGATTCATCTGACATTAGCTATAATGTCCCTAGTGCCACCACCTCTTCTAAATCCAGCCTGCACTTCAGGCAGTTCTCTGTTGATGTGCTGTGCCAGTCGTTTTTGGATAATCTTGCTTGCATGTGATATTAATGATACTGTTTGGTAATTTCCACACTCTGTTGTTTCACCTTTCTTTGGAATGGGAACAAACACAGATCTCTTCCAGTCAGTTGGCCAGGGGTTTGCCTTCCAGATTTCTTGGCACAACTTGGTGAGCACATCCAGGGCAGCATTTGTTTGTTGAAATATGTCAAACAGTATACCATCAATTCCTAGGGATTTGATTTTACGCCAATTCTTTCAGAGCAACTGGAAATTCTTCCTTCAATACCACAGGCTCTTGCTCATACGTTGTTCGTTTCATTAAATTCTTCTGTGTCCGCCAATTCCTTTTGGTATGATGACTCCGTATACTCTTTCCATCTTCTTTTAATGCTTCCTGTATGATTTAGTACTCTGCCCAAAGCACCCTTAAGTGTTGCAACTCGAGGTTTGAATTTGTTCTTCAGTTCCTTGAGCTTAAGAAATGCTGAGCGAGTTTGGCCTTTTTGATTTTCTGACTCTAGCTCCTTGCACATTTCACTGTAATACTTTACTTTGTCTGCCCTCTGGAATCTTCTGTTCAACTCCTTAGTATCTTGATTTCTTCCCTTTGCTTTGGCTTCTCAGCACTCTAGTGCAATATTCAGAGTCTCTTCTGACTTCCATCTTGATCTTTTCTTCCTCCTCTATCTTTGTAATGACTTTTTGCATTCTTCCTGGATGATATTCTTGATATCCTCCTACAGCTCATCTGGTCTTCTCTCATTAATGTCTATGTCCTCAAACCTGTTCCTGAGATGGTTCTGAAATTCAGGTGGGATAGACTCAAGGTCAAATTTTGGTTCCTGTGGACTTGATTTCATTTTCCTCAGCTTAAGCTTGAACTTGCACATGAGTAGGTGGTGGTCTGTTCCACAATCAGCACCTGGCCTAGTTTTCACAGCTGATATTGTGTATTTTCCAGCAATTCTTTCCACAGATGTAATCGATCGGATTTCTATGCATACCACACTAGCATTAACTATATTTAAGAGGTTGAAACAACCTAAATACCATAACCAATCAAAGAGCCTCATACGTCAAAATAGTTCATAGTATACGTCATATGAACTTCACTTTGATTTTTAAAGAGCTGACAGAATTGAAAGAGGTAATAGTAAAATTCATACTTATGGTCAGTTGGTCGCTATTAGGTGGTGCCATAGTGTCAACAACTCATGGTGACCCTATGAACAACATATCTAAAGCCTGCTGTATCCTGTGCCATCTTCATTATCTCTGATAAACTCTACCTATTGTGTCATTGTGTCAATCCACCCTATCGGCCTTTCCTCTTTTTCAA